GGGGGGGGTCACAATTTGAAGGTCTGAAAGGATAGTTCTGGGGTCTGGAGGTCTTTGTGTTTGGATCCAACGTCACCGTGGGAGACTCTGGTTTGCTCTGGGGGCGTGGGTTTCTTATTTTAGGGTTTGGGTTCTCTGTTAAGGTTTGTGGTCTGTGATCTCAACTGGACTGGGATTGGGGTCGTATTTGGAGATCAGAAGTAGCCAGTATGGGGGTCTAGAGTATCTCAGTATCACTGTTGAGGGTTTTTAGGTTTGGGAGGGCATCTTTGGGGGTTTTAGATCTTCACTTTGAGAGTTCCAAGTCATGGTTTTTGCATCTTAACCTCACCGTTTTAGAGAGCTCAAGCCAGGTTGCAGGCCTGGCCATGTGACGTGTCACTATTAAGACAGAAGTTCTGAAGTTAAAGTGTGGGAATGTGTTTTTAGTTTTAGGTACAGATCACAACTTGGCCCAAATTTACAGTTTGGGATTCAGGGACTTCGGTTGAGAGTTCAGGGGTTTGACTTTGGTCTCTGGGCCCATATTTGTGGGGGTCGGGGACCCTTGGGCTGTCGGAGTGCTCAAAGGAACAACTTGGGGAAAATGAAGGCTGCCCACCTTGCTAGCCATTCCTCCTGGAATCCCAGAGGTCACTAATAATTCTTTCTTTTTTCCCTCTTTGCAGATGTGGCATTCCAGTACACACTTGTGTTCCCCTGAATGGCCCAGAGCCAGTCCCCTGGGTCCCAGTGAGAGGTAAGGGCTCTACCCTGTCCATCTCCCTTGCAGCTTCGGCCACTCTCGTTGAATAATAACAATAATGTTTACTGAGCATTTACTGTTTGTCAGACTCTCCCCTAAGCCCTTGGTTTGTATGCTATTTGTATGGGCGAATGTTACCGCCATTTTCAAGATGAAAGAGCATCTCTGAGACCCTTGCAGGCTTTGACCTTCTGAGTTGCTTACACGCCCTCCTCCCTTTCTTTTTTTCCTGTATTCATTCATCCGGCAAACACCTATCAAGGGCCAGGAATCTCATAGAGGGGATTTTCACAGCAGATTGAGGGTTGGGTCGGGTTTCTCCTTCCCTCCAAAGCCTGGCTAAAGCAAAGAGAGCCACAGCTCATCTTATCCCCATTGTCTCCCCAAATGACTTACTGTCCATCCATCTCCCCATTCATTTATTAACTCTGAAACTCAGCATCTGCTTTGTTCAGGTTCTTGACTTAGGTTCTGTGCTCAGAAGGAGCACTATGAAGACAGTGAAGAATGCCTTTCCTGCTGCCCATTCCTCCTGGAATCCCAGAGGTCACCAACAATGTATTCCCTTTTCCCCCTTTCTAGATGGGGGGAGGGTGTTGGTCATTGTATTAATAAAGACTCTTAGTTGCAATTAACGGGAAACCTGCTGAAACCAGCTTAAGCATAAAAGGGTCATTGGTTCCTCACTGGGTCCTTTAAACAAAAAATTCAGGGGCATCCGGCTTGGCTGGGTCCAGGCAAGGAACCTGCCTCGCTTGGCTCTGCTGTTGCCCTCTGTTGGCTCCCTTCTTAAGCAGGCTCTCTCTTTGTGAGGGCAAGATGGCTTCCAGAAGCTCCAGAACCACATCCTGCCAGCCTGACAACCCCAGCAGGGAGTCTCTTTCCAGGACCCTTGATTCCGATTGGCCAAAGCTGGGTTAGGACCCCAATCCCGAACCAATCACTGTGACTCTTCTTTGCTGGACCTTAGTTCTATGCTGCCCAGTGGAGGGGGAGGTTGGGTTTGACCTTTCTGGGCCACATAGACTGAGAGTGGGGGAGGGGTGGTTCCAAAGGAAATTATTACCAGACAAGGGGGATTAAATGTTCATCAACCAAAACCAACAGGTTTGCCAACCTTCCACCCCCTCCTTCAGCATCCTTTCTCCCTAGAAAATTCTGACAAATGACCGTTCACCTTCTATCTCGAACATTTTGTGAGCACTCTCAATGTGCCAGGTGTTATGCTCAACACCCTCCAGACAAGATAAAACTTTCTAGCCACCTCCATTTTATAAATTAGTTTAAAACAGCCTCAGAGAGATCAAAAATTTTTCCAAAGTCACACAGCAAGTGACAGAGCTGGGATTTCCATCTAGATCTGTCTTATTCAAAAGCTGGAGCTTATAACGAACTATTATGCTGCCTCTGGGCACTGCCCCCTGCTTTGTCCCACTTTGGGGCAGCTCTTACTCTTAAATGTCTGCACATTAGGATCTGGGCCTTAGTTTTCCTATATCTAATACGAGATATTTGGACTGGCTCTTCCAGCTCCCGTAAAATAAAAACTAGGGAGGGTTTAGCCTGATTAGCTCAGGGAAGAGGAAACCCAAGAAATAGAGTCATTTGCCATTTCAAAGGCTGAGGCCATCAGAAGACAGAAGGAACATCCATAAATTCAATAATTTTTTGTTGAACACTTACTTAGTGCTGGTCATTATTCTAGGAGCTGGGATATAGTCAGGGCAACACATGACTTTCATGGGCCCTAGGCCATTTGCCTTCTTGAACCCCTTCCTCCATTAGAAATGTATTTAAAATTATTTTTTAATTTTTAAGAAGTTTTGTATTAAAACTTTTTTTTATTTAATGTTTATGTATTTTTGAGAGACATGGAGCACGAGTGGAGGAGGGGAAGAGAGAAAGGGAGACACGGAATCCAAAGCAGGCTCCAGGCTCCAAGCTGTCAGCACAGAGCCCAACACAGCGCTCGAACTCACGGACCGTGAGATCATGACCTGAGCCGAAGTCGGACACTCAACCGACTGAGCCACCCAGGCGCCCCTTAAAAATTTTAATGTTTTATTTACTTTTGAGAGAGAGAGGGAAACACAGAATTCAAAGCAGGTTCCAGGCTCTGAGCTGTCAGCACAGAGCCTGACACGGGTCTCAAACTTACAGACCAAGAGATCATGACCTGAGTCAAAGTTGGATGCTTAACCGACTGAGCCACCCAGGCGCCCCCAAAAACATATTTTAAATTATAGTTTACAACAACATCAGTATCGATTTTAAAAGAAATTAAAACATTTTTAGGGTGTTTGACTGGCTCACTCAGGGGAGCATGCAACATTTGAACTCAGGGTTTTGAGCTCAAGCCCTATATTGGGTGTAGAAATTACTTAAAAACAAAATCTCAAAAGAAAAAAGAAAATATTTTCATGAGCCCTTAAAAGCGGCACCAGAATTTATGTACTGTACTTACTGTACCTAATGGATAAGTCAGTGTGGGATATAACAATTAATAAAAAAGACCAAAATCCCTGCCCTGTGGTATTTATAATAAAGAAAGATTTCAGGTTCTGATAAATGATATGGGGAGGTGACAAAGAATGTGTTTAGTTCGATCAGTTGGTCAGAAAAGGCCTCTCTGAGGGGGTCATATTTAAGCTAGGTTCTGAACATACCAGCCATACAACAATTAGGGCAAAAGAACATTCCCGGTGGAGGAATAGTAAAAGCCCTAAGGCAGAGAGAAACTTGGCGGTTTAGAGAAACGGAAAAAGGACCCATGTGGCTGCAGCTGGCCTGTTCCTGAAGCCCCAGAGGGCAGAGCTGGAATTAGCGGGTGAAAATTATAGACACTATGAGGAAAGAGTTTGTCTGAAACCCGAACCATCCAGTAAGGAAAGAGGCAGCCATGGGAGGAAGTGCCCGGAACCCAGAGGCCCCTGGGGGCAGACCCCAGGTTACACCTATTCAGGACTACTGCCCACAAGATGCCAAGATTTTGTGATGCCTAGTCATCCTTTTTCTCCCTCTAAATTTTTTTCCTGGAACTTCTGTGTTTGCACACAGAAGGCTCTCTCGGTGCTTTGCAAAACCCCGAGTAAACACCCAGGGACTACATACAGTTGAAATGAAACTCTTTTTCCCAGACATGGTCAAATAACACCTTGAACTTAAATAGGCCTGGACACTTTTTCCTTCCTTGCTTCTCGCTGGGGCTTCCAGGGGCTCCTCTAGAACAGAAGGAAAGTGGTATGCAAAAAGTAAATATCAGGGCCCAACAGGACTTTAGAGGTCAGCCTAACCCAGTTTTCCTCCAAGGATAGAACGCTAACACCCTAGCCCCTCAAAGTTGTGGTTTCTACCAGGAAGTAACTTGAGACCAGAGATTTGTTTTTCTTTTATTCCTCCATTCAGTTGACTAATATGCATAGTCTTCTGTATTCATAGCAGTTTTGAGAGGGTACACTAATGATATCATCCCCTGTGTAAGGCCCTTTTATGGCTTCCTGTTGGTCTTCAGATAAGGGCAAAACTCTTCTGTACCATGAGCCTCTGAGACCCTGCCTCATCTGGCCCCTATCTTCTCCAGCCTTGTGTCACCCCACAAGACCCCTTGCTTTCTGTGGGCCAGGACACTGGCAGCTTTACTTCCTTTGAGTTCTCCATGCTTCCTCGTGCCACAGGGCCTTTACACATGTTCTCTCTATCTGAAATGTTCTTGTTCTCTCTTCACCTATACATCTCCACTCATCCTTCAGCACAGGTTCTGGCCAGGTTTACTTCCTCAGGGAAAAACCTCAGATTAGATCAAAGACACCTGTTACAAGTTCTCCTAACACCAAGCAGGTGTCTTTGTCTCCATCAGGGCCAACTTCATGGGTGTGCAACTCATGCAGTTACAGAGCCCTGTGCTTGGCAGAGCCTGATTCTTGGTTTGATGCTCTGCTCTCACCATCTAGAAATTCTTAATTTTTGAAAAAGGGGCCCCACATTTTCATCTGCAAGGCTCCCCTCCCCAGTAAGTTTTATAGCTGTTTCTGGTCCCAATTGGAATTTTATGTTTGTTTGTGTGACAATTTGATTAATGCCTTTATCCCTGAGTGTACTGTGGGCTCTAGAAGGAGCTGTATTTTGTTTTTTATACTTTTTAAATAAAGCTTACTTATTTTGAGAGAGAGAGAGAGCAGGGGAGGGGCAGAGAGAGAGAATCCCAAGCAGGCTCCGCATGGTCAACATAGGTCCCGGTGTGGGGCTTGAACCCACGAACCATGAGATCGTGACCTGAGCTGCAGTCAGATGCTTAACCAACTGAGCCACCCAGGCGTCCCTTTGTTTATATACATTTATCCCTACTGCCTATCACCATTACTGGCACATAGTAGGTGCCCAATCAGTAATTGCTAAGTGAATGAGTGAGAAAGATTCTTTTAGAGCTCCAGAGTTTGGTTAGGGAGATAAGTGTGTGTCCCTCACTACTCCCCCATCTCCTCGAGGGCAATGACCATGATTTCTCTCACCTTCCATGGTGTCCAGCGCGGGGCCTGAAAAGGAGGAGGTGTTAGTTTGTGGATGTGTGAGTAGGAACTAAACATCTGGCTGTAATCAAGGGAGTGTTTTGGGCGTGGCCATGCTGCAGGTGACAAAGTCCTGTGGCCATTCAGAGCAAGGGAGGAAGGCAAGGGTGGTCGCCAGGGGCTGCCTGGGGCAGGTGGCAATTGAACTGAGCCCCAAGGAAGGTGAGACAAAGATGGGTGGAAATGGGGGGATCTGGGCATTCAAAAGGAGTCATGGGAGTGGTGGCAATGGTGTGTAATTTGGGAGAGAGGCTCCATTGTCTTTGTGTCTCCATCTGTCAAGATTGGGGTGGAGGTGTGTATACAGGGATATATGATGAATTATGGATTCAGGGATTAGATCCTGGAAGTTCTGCATCCCCCCAGGAGTCAGCTTCTGCCATGCCCTTATTTATTTATCTAGCAAAGATGTGGCGAGTTCCCACGACGTGCCAGACCCTGTTCTAGATGCTAGAGATAGAGTGGTTCCCCCCTCCACCACCTCTCAGCTCAGAGCAGGACCCAGAGAAGTGCGTGAGCATGGATGGGGCTGAGGGACCTTAGCAGAGGTATCCCACCTGTCCTGTGGAGTTAGAGTCACTTGATGGGAGAGAACCAAAGAAAGTAAGAGATGAGACCAGGATGGTCAGCAGAGCCAGGCCTTGAGGGGCATTATAAAAGCTGTGTTCAGAGTTTAAACTTGACCTTTAATAATAGGATGGCCTTGAGAGATTTGAAGTACTTATTAGTCAAGTAACATATCGGGCTCTGTGCTGGGCGGCTTCACACACACTGATTTATTCAGTCCTGTTGATGATCCTCTGAGCCTGAATGGATCTCCTCATTCCCACTGCACAGATGAGAAAACCGTGGGCAGATCTGGTTTTCAGAAAGGTCACCCTGACTCTAGGAGACAGTATGGGCTGGAGGAGGCCAGACAGGAGGCCGGGAGAGCTAGGGGAATGTCAACATGTGGACCAGGCCAGGGGCTGGGGGTGGAGAGGAGGGATTGCAAGGGGAACGGGTGAGATTTGATGACTGAGGGGATGAGGATTCTGTCTGGGGTGTCAGGGGAGGGGAGCTTCTCTGAGAAGGGGAACACTGAGACCAGTGGTTTGGGGGTCAGGGGCCAATTTCCATTTTGGCTGTCCTAACCCAAACCGGCTCTTGGCCCAAAACAGGAGGCAAAGGAAAAACCACACCAGCAAACTGCAGGAGCTGGCATTGCTGCTACCCATGGCCCTGAAGAAGGGTACCAAGAAGCTCACCAAGGTATGGGGACCGAGGGAGGGGAGGCGGACGCAGGAGGCAGATCTGAAGATATCCGTAACCAGCTTAGCCTCCCTCATGCTGGGAACCCTCGACAGGCCCTTTCAGGGACGGCGCCCTCGATGGGGCATTTCTGTGATCCCATGACCAGAAGACGGGTGGTGGTGGTGGCGGGGAGGGTGGGGGGGTCTGTTTTTGCAAAAGAGGCAGGGGGACCTGGGAGGGGAAAATCGGCAAGGAGCCTGGTAAAGGTCATCACTTTGGGACTCAAACAGCCATGGGTTTGAGCCCTTCAGCCCCCAAACGATAGGACTCTGGGCCGGGCGCTCAGCTTGTCAGCCTCTCCAGCATCATGCCTCTCAGCTGTAAAACAAGAAACAATAACATCTACTACCCAGCAATACTGTGAGGCCAAAATGACATAATAGCCATGACCAAGTGTCGGTTCCCTCTCTGTGAGTCCCTTGTTTTGTGTCCTGTGGGCATCTTCTCCACGAGGTAGAGATAGATAAGGCTTCTCTGGGCATCTGCAGTGGCTCCTCAATAAAAGTATGCAGTGCTGAGCTGACACCTTGCTCCCGCCACTGGGAGCAACTTAATAAGGGACTCAAAGATCTGGAAGGCCTGGTGTGATGCTTTCTCACCCTAGTTCCTCTCATTCCGTCCTGTCATTCGTTCATTCATCAGCTGGTTATGGAAAGACGGTTGGATGTCAGAAGCTGTTCTAGTCTCAACAAGGGGAGGCAAAGAAACTTGGGACCCATCCTCTGGGAACTCACAGAGTTCCCAACATGAGTTCCCCATTGGCGGAACTCACCCCTCTGAAGCACAGAGGGGTCGAGGACACAGCTGGTTAATAGCAGAGAGAGAGAGTCAGGTTTGTGGCATTCCAAAGGCTCCCCTCCTCAACGGTTCTGTCATTCAGTGCTCCATAGGTGTTGAATGAAACAACGAGTAGATGAATGAGTGCATGAATTCCCTGAGTTGAAAATGTTACAGGACCATCTATCTTCCCTTCAGAAGGTCTCGGGGATTTGAACCTCTGCTGGTAGCCCCCATACTAACCTTCCTGAAGTATTGATCACTGAGCCTTTGGTCTTGGAGTCTGAGGTGATGCCCAATTGCCTTCTGCATAAAAACAATACCAGTATGAGGTGCCCGGGTGGCTCGGTCGAGCATCCAACTTCAGCTTAGATCATGATCTCACGGTTTGTGAGTTCCAGCCCGTCAGGCTCTGTGCTGACAGCTCAGAGCCTGGAGCCTGCCTTGGATTCTGTGTGTCTCTTGCTCTCTGCCCCTCCCCCCACTCGCTTTCTCTCCCTCTCTCTCTCTCTCTCTCTCTCTCTCTCTCTCTCTCAGAAATAAATAAACACTAAAAAATTATACCAGTAATAAAAAACATTTCATATTACTTTATAGTTCATAAACATTTTAGCTTAGCGAGTGCCAATCGTGTGCCAAGCCTGGTGTTGGAGATACCATACCTGATCTTGAGAAACCCACAGTTCGGTTCTCAAGAGTTAGAAAAGGTCCTCACTTAATCCTTTGAGAACCTGATGAAAGTGTTCTCATCCATAGTGTATCAGGCTCTGTGCTGGGCAGTTTCACACACACTAGTTTATTCAGTCCTAACGATGATCCTCTGAGCCTATGTGAATATCCTTATTCCCACTGCACAGATGAGAAAACTGAGGCACAAAGAGGTAACATGGCCTGCTCCCAATACCCAGCCAGGAAGTGGCACATGGGGTCCAGGTCCTTCCAAAGTAATACATAGTCTCCTGCCTGTGTCACAGATATTCCTTAGTTAGATTACAGCTTCCTTCCGTGGATCAGGTCAGATCATTTCAGCGACCATCGGTGTTATATCTTCTGGAATGGTTTCACACGTTTCCCTTTGTGGGATCGTGTTTCCTGATCTAGGGTTTGGAAGATTACTGCTAATGGTTTTGTTGTTATTCTAGGGATCCAGTTCAATCCAAGAAATACTTGCTGGCATTCTTCCCTCTCCTCTTCCCCAGGCTAACCCCTGTCATTCTTCAGGTCTCCGTTTAAATGCTTTTTCAGACACTCAAGTCCACTTTCAGAATCTCTTGTTACACCCTTATTCATAATGCTTATCACACGGTTGATAATTTTGCATCATTTCTGAGTTTATTAAGGCCCACTGCCCTCCCTAGATTGTAAATTCCAGGAAGGTAAACAGAAGTGTGTTGGTTCACCCCTACATACCTGGCCCTCAGTGGGTAGTAGTCTGTTTGAACTTCGTGTCTCCAAAACCAACTGAGTCAGTACTTGGTGGCTGGCTGGCTGGCTGATGCCCGCTGGGCAGAAGGCATCATGCTCAGTGCTACAGGGGAGGTCAGTCTTCAGCGAACACTGGCTAAGCTACCTCTTTATTCTGTGAGTAAGGGATGCAGGAATCGCTTAGCTACAATCTCTACCCTCAACTAGTTCAAGGTCAATGAGAGAAAATAACGCATAAACAGGTAATTATAAAACAGGCCCAGGGTATTACAAGAATGCTGAGGAGGGACATCTGACCCAGCCTGGGTGAGAGGGGTCAGGGAGGTGGAAAGTTTCTGGAAGGGGAGACCACTGTGCTGAGTAAGGCTCAAAGGTGGAGAAGCCAGAGCAGGGGTCTGTGGGGAGGGGGGAGGGGGGCTTTGCAGATAGAGAATACAGCATATGCGAAGGGTCAGGGGTGGAAAGCCAGATGGTGTGTGTTGAAAAACTGGGCCAGGAGGCAGGCAGACCCGAGTTCAGATCCCAGCACTGCCACTTCCTCTCTTTCGCCTTAGCGTTAGCACTCTGAGCCTCAGTTTCCTTAGCTGTAACAGAAGTCTCCCTGAGCGGCAGCAAGGACTAAACAGCAGAATAGGAGCACCTCTGCCAGTGGAGGGATTGTTGGGGTGGGGAACGCGGTCCCAGAGCCTTTCTGTCTCTGGTCCCCAGTAGCCTCACACTGTCGTGGGACCCCACTCTTGTGCTCAGCCTTGTCTTTCTTTTGAGGGCAGAAGGAGATTCTCCTGCACGTCCTGCACTACATTCAGTACCTCCAGAAAAACATCGATGTGGCCAAGGCCTTGCTCAAATTCCACACCGCCAATGGGGAAGGCAGACTTGGGGGTAAGTAAGTTCAGTCCCCATTTCCCAATGCCTGCCACAGACCAAGAGCTGTGCTGCCGTCGGGGGGCACCGAGCGAGTGACTTAGATGAGTCCAGGCCCTCCGGCCTCTCAGAGCCTGGCAGAGGGGACAGAGACAGAGAGATGTGTGTGATGCTGTGAACTTAGGGGCATCTGGGAAGACTGTGGCGGGGAGGGGCCTTGCAACTGGGCCTTGGAGGATAAGGGCAGGGGGACCCCACCAGGCAGAAGCAGCAGTGGGCGTGTATGAGGAGACACCTGTGGAAGGTCTGGGACAGGCCAGCAGCGGGCACGCTTGGAGGGACCGCGTAACATCAAGATGATGCGCGAGGTTCTTGAACCGGATCCTGACGCAGACACAGGTCTCGGGACCTTAACCTCTCAATGCCTCAGTTTCCACGGCTGCAAAATGAAGCCGATAGTAGTACAGTTGAACCTGGACTAACGTGGGTTTGAACCGCATGGACTCACCTCTACACAGGCACCTCAGGAGAAATATCGTACGGAACTGTAAATGTATTTTCTCTTCCTTACGGTTTTTTTTTTTTTTAATTTTTTTTTCAACGTTTTTATTTATTTATTTATTTTTTTGGGACAGAGAGAGACAGAGCATGAACGGGGGAGGGGCAGAGAGAGAGGGAGACACAGAATCGGAAACAGGCTCCAGGCTCCGAGCCATCAGCCCAGAGCCCGACGCGGGGCTCGAACTCACGGACCGCGAGATCATGACCTGGCTGAAGCCGGACGCTCAACCGACTGCGCCACCCAGGCGCCCTTCCTTACGGTTTTTTAACATTTTCTTTTCTCTAGTTCACTTTGTGGTAAGAGGTCAGTAGATAACACATATAATATGCAAAATATATGTGAATCAACTGTTTATGTTATTGGTCAGGCTTCTGGTCGGCAATAGGCTATTAGTAGTGAAGTTTCTGGAGAGTCCAAATTAGCTGTGGGTGTTCCACGGCGCAGGGGGATGGGCGCCCCTAACCCTGCTTGTTCAGGGGTCACCTGTACTTCCTTCCCGTGTTCGTCATGAGGCTTAAATGAGTTAATACACATAGAAAGTGTCACACGGTGCCTGGAACAAGCCGGTTGTCTAGTGCTACATGTGCCGGGTGCCGTCCTTGTTTCTGGCATAAAGAATCCACGGGCCACAGTGAGAGGAGGTGAGGTGAGGGTCCAAGACCCTGAAGGGCTTTGAGCCAGGAAAAGCCAGGATCAGATTTTCTTTTTTTTTTTTTTTGGAAGACGAGCCTGACATCTAGTGTGTGGGATTGGGTATTAAGTGAGAAACTGGAGTCAGGGAGGTCAGCGAAGAGGCCTTTAGGAGTGATCTGGACAGGATCACTGGACAGACCGATCTAGCACTGAGGGTAAGGCTGTAGACAGAAGTGGTACATTTGGGAGATGCTAACAAAGGACAGTTGAGAGGCCTGATCGGCCCCAGGCAAGCCAGGGTGGGCAGCGGAGTCTTCAGTGCCCTGAGGAAGGTAGGAGGAGGCACTGGTTGGGGATGAGGCCTATGGGGAAGCATTTGGGAAGCACTGAGCCCATCTTCCCTCTTGGCAGAGGCCCAGGATGGCCCTGGGGACACCTGACTTTTCGCCCTGTACCTCTACTGCCTGGATGTGCAGCCTCACACCCATCCATCCGATCTCTTCCCAGGAGCTCAGTTTCCACACTTGTAAAGTCAGCTGGTTGGGGCAATCCGACCTGACTCTTTCTCCATCCTGTGCAGGGCTGGCTCGGAACCCGGCCGTGGGCCCAGCAAAGCTGAGACGCTCCACCCCTTCGCGCTCCCCACACTGGAGGAAGTCCCGTCTTCAGGGAGGCTGCCGGAAACCTCGGAAGAAGAAACTGACCGGATCGTCAGGTACAAGTGAGGCTAGACAGGAAGCCAGGTCACTGGGAGCAGAGCTCCTTCCCCAGAGCCGTTCTTACTCCGGGGAGGCCCAGGCAGCAACCCAGAGCCCCTGACCGGGCTTTACAGTGAGACAGACCCACCTGGTTCAACTCCCAGCCCCTGGAGCGGTTACTTTCCTCCTCCGAGCCTCAGCTTCCTGGTCTGGAAATTGTAGTACCTGCCACTGGGTGGTGTTAAGGATGAGCCTGTGTACACACCCCTCGAGCAATGCTGAGTGGAGAGGCACATGGTCAGCGCTCAGTGAGTGGAAGCTGCTGTTAGCACGTAGTCTTTTACACCCAGTCATGCATCCTGGGCCAGGACATCAGGGAGCGCGGGGTGATGGAAAGACCCACGTGCGGAAAGCAAGCATCCTAGGGCTGGCCTCAGCCTTGCTACTGACTCGCTGTGTGTCCCTTCCCGTCCACATGCCTCAGTTTACATGTTTTTAAAATGGGACTTGTACCTAAACGATGATTTCCAGTCTTGGCTGCATATCTAATTGAATCATCCAGGGTACTTTTAAAAATGCTTATCCCTGGGGCACCTGGGTGGCTCAGTTGGTTAAGCATCTAACTTCAGCTCAGGTCATGATCTCACAGTTTGTGAGTTCAAGCCCTACTTCGGGTGAGCTCGTGCCCCGCTTCAGGTGAGCCCCGCTTCTCTCTCTCTTCCCCTCATAGGATTCTCGCTCTAGCTTTCCCTCTCTCTCTCCACCACTCACTTACTTGTGCCCTCTCTCTCTCAAAAAAAAAAAAAAAAAAAAAAAAGAAAAAAGAAAAAAAAACCCAATGCCTGTCCCTGGGGCTCCTGGGTGGCTCAGTCAGTTAAAGGTCAGACTCTTAGTTTTGGCTCAGGTCATGATCTCCTGGTTCGTGAGTTTGATCCCCACATCAGGCTCTGTGTTGACAATGCAGAGCCTGGTTGGGATTCTCTCTCTCTGCCCCTCCCTTACTCGTGCTTTCTCTCTCTCTTGAAGTAAATAAACTTTAAAAAAATGCCTATCTCTGTGCCTCATACCCTGAAAGTCAAGTTCCAGTGGTCTGGGGTGGAACCTGGGCATCAGTATTTTTCCAGAGCTCACAAGATGATTCTAACGTGTGGGCAGGGGAAGGGAGCCTACGTTGAGCTGATCTCCAACTGAGGCCCAGGCTTACCTGGGCAAAGCTTTGAATAGGTTGTGGAACCCAGAGCAAAGATAGCCCCCCATCTGAGCCATATTCTGGCCCCCTCTGACGCCTGTCTCTCTGCTCCCCCAGAATGCCAGACCCGGGCCCAGAAGCCTCGCCGCTGCCTGGCCCTGGACAAGCCCAAGAAGTGGGTAACCCCATCCCCAGACCAGCAAGGAGGAAATGTGGGGAGGACCACCACTCCTTCAAGATGCACCACCTCCAGCAGTCACCCCAAAGCTGCATCAGCCCTGCCTCAAGATGACAGAAAGGGAGGAAGGTCCCGGCTGACGTTGCTGGACATGGCTGAGAACAGCACCCACTGTGACATCTCAAGTTGGTCTCCTTCCTCACTGTTATCTTAGCCGGTTATTTATACACTGCTTGTCAGGTACCAGCAATGTCCTGAGTCCGGTCCCAGTAGCTGGGGACTCCATGGGGCACAAGAGAGACGCTATCTCGAGCCTCTTTCCCTGTTCTCTTTTCTTCTCAGGCTCTGTTGTGGGACAGCCTCAGTGTGGCCCTCATGTGAGGCTGTGGGTCACAGAACTGGGGGAGGGCAGGCAGTCGCTCTCGTGACTCTGGTCCGTGTGCCAGGTTGAAAAGTTGCAGACACACACCCAGCAGGGAGCCAGGCGAGAAAGGGGTGCTTGGAAGGCAAGGCCCTGAGCTGTTCTATCCCCTCTGTTCACTTAACTGTGAAAGGCTTGTAAAAATGGCGCCTTTCAGCCCAGGGCTGCCGACTGCCACGTAAAATGTCTAAAACCTCGCTGGCACGGTAAGCACTCTGTCCTTGTCTTTGCTATCGTCATTTTCATCGACACTATTCCACTTCAGGATTTTAGCTCCCTTCCAGCTTCTGAGAAAGAGGTAGGGTTCCAAAAACCCAGGGGTCATTCGGGTTGTCCTGGAGCCTCACGCAGAGGCCCCGCAGCCTGAGGTCTTGCTAGGATCTGGGCGGGAGAGGCTGTAGCAGGGCCCCGGCACCTCTGCATCCCTGTGTCTGTGAGTCCCAGGAGGTGTTCCAGTCACAGGAGTAAGCATCCCGACTTGCCCCCGTAGGCTGCTGTTGCAGAGTCAGTGCCCAGGGTAATGGGCCCTACCCTGCCTTCAAGGCCCAACAAGGGGCCGAGGGGATCCATTTTCTCAACAGGACACAGCCCTGTCCCAGGTAAGGGAACCCCAAGGGCTCTGAGTGGGGGAGGCTGAGGTGTGTGGTCTGGAATGGCTGAAGGGCAGTGAGAAGCGAGGTTGATTTACATCCTCGCTGGTATCTGTGGAGAGAGTACCTCTGTGGGCCTAGCTTGGTGCAGGCGGTTGAGGCTCCAAGGAGGGCCCTGCTTCCGGTCTGCCGGACCAGGGCTGCAGCCCCTCGCCAGCCTCCCTGCCTCCTGTCTCACCCCTTCCAGCCCGTCCTCCCTAGTTGCCTGACTGACTTCTCTAACCACACACTGTGGTCACATCAGCTCATGGCTTTAAGGCCTCCCTCAGTGCCCATGGGGAAGAGCCCAAATAGAACTTCCCTGGCCCTGGTTCATCTTGCCAGCCCTCTCTGTTGCCCCTCACCCATGAATCTTACCCTTAACACCACGAAATATTTGCCACTCCACAGGAGCCACACG